ATTTAATATCTTTATAAGTACTGAGTTTCAAAAATCTAGATATTTAACCGTTCGAGTTACAAAAATATTGGATATAGAAATATGATAAAAAATTATCAAGTATCATGATTACGTCGTGTAGAAAATCAAGCATCATGTAATATTGAAATAGTTAAAGTATAACTAAAACTCTCTTATTCGTATCCTAACAATAATATATTGTAAAGATATGGGAGGAGATTACAGGAGGAATTTTAAACCACCATTGAATAATTTGTTAAAAAATAAAAATAAATTTTGTGGATAGGAACATTAAAATTTTTAGAATGCGATTATAATAATGACATTATAATAATCGAAAAGTCGTTACGCAATCCAGGACCGAAAAGGTACTTAAGAAACTGTTATTAAAAATAAAATTTTTCGTAAAACAGATTTTGAAATATATGTACTCATAATAGAAATATGTTAATTTATTTCTTATTGTATAATAAACAATTCAAAATTTTAACAAGTTCCTAAGTAAAACTTTATCGCTGGTAATTACATGAAGAATTTTATTGAGAGTATCTGTGTAATTTTACTGTCTTTTCCCCGTGGCCTCGAGAACAAACTATTAACGATCGTCCGTCTGTCGCCGGATTCTGTAATTTCTGGTGACAATTCCATGTTCTCTGTCTCGCATACGATACTCATAACGGGAACGTATGACGAGACCGCGTGAACACGCGATACAAATCCGTGCAGGGGTCGGTGTCTGATGGAAATGGCGATAACGATCTCGACGAAGTCATTTGATACTTGTCAATTTTTAACGACGACTTACAGCCGTCGAAATCGGTGACGCCTTCTCTGGTATCATTTCTATATAATTTTATATTGTTAAATTTTATATTATTATAAATAAACTATCGCAATCAGTGCCATTTATATAATTACATATATACGCATATATTTTTTATTTTTATAATTATATTAATAGTATATTAAATATATAGTTTATATATAATTCAAAGTACGTGTGTGTAATCTTAAGCGTGCTTCATTTTTTACGAAAATCGAAATATTAATTTGAATAATAACAGTTGATATATTAGATGTTTAGACTTTCAAAAGCAATTAAAATATCTAAGTATTTAAAAATGTTTCAACGTTATATTTTTTGCACGCTTAGGAATCTACATAACTACGGGGCAATTTTGAAAACGAACCTCATTTAGTCGAATAATCAGATCTAAACGACCGTTCGGGGCGTTAAGGTCGAGATTTAAGATGCAACTGCAAAGTGACGCATCACGCTTTCTTACCTCTCGTTCTTCTCTCTTTTTTCCTCTTTCTCTGCGTTTGTCAAAGTGTTATGTTTCGTCGCCTGCGTATTATATACACGCGCCACACGTGACTTTGGCGACGTTTCTGATTCCGAGATTCCCCTTGCCTCCCCTGGCATCGTGAAACCCAGCCAATCGAGTTCACGTAGGCGGTGCGACGATGCGTGAGGGCGGCCACGGCCACCAATCAACGCACGAGCTGTGAAATTGACGCGACGGACGCTGCACTGATTCTTCAAGAGCCGAGAATCATCTTCTTGGGCCTAACTCAGTTACGTTCCACAACTCTGAGAGGGTGTGTGGAACTTTTCCAAAGTCGATTGTCTTAAGAGTTTCCAAAACCTCACGCCCAATCATTCGATTTGAATTCGCGATCTATAATCGGGCGAAATATCGATTCTCGGAAATGTCTTTTGCGAATATGGCTGCGTTGTTTATGAACACATCTTGGATGTCAACTTTCCAACCACATTTTTTCTCCTGTTTTGAATCAGGTATGTGTTATTCCCAGTTGTCTCGGTTCATCTTGCGACCCGCCGCGCCAATGTCATGAGTCGCAACCGGTGAAGTTTAACGGATTGTAGCTTCGATTTTCGAATTTTCGTCAACACGGAAGGTACTGAAAAGGTGTTGAAAATATAGTATTTTAATGTCGAAAATTGACGAGTCGATGTAATATATAAAATTTCTACGTTTATCTGTCAATTTTGCGATTTATTGCAATTTACGACTATATATATAATTCAGTTTTATGTTTTTGCTTCTTTATTCTTTCTATAAAATCAATTTGTTCCTATGTCATATTATCAGAAGAATGATAAATTACGTTGTTTTTATAAGAAAGTTTTTAAAATGATAAAATTATACTAAATCTCTTCAAAGAAATCTTGAAAATAATCTATTATTTTATAAAAAGAAGACTCGCAATTGTTAAATAATAAGTTGTAAGTGATAAATCTTACCAGCTTTCTTATTCGACTGATAGAAGTCTAGGAAGAAAAAGGTCACTCTGACGAATCGATTTCAGTCATAATAAAAGACAGCCTTCCCCTCTAGTTCACTCTGTCAAATTGCCTAAAACCCGGCGTAATGCAATGTCCCCGCTGACCAGGATGAGTGCCTCGAGTCGTGGAACATGAAAGGTGCCGGTTTTTGCCAAGAAAACCGTCGTTATCTGTTCACCATGAAACGGGTCTACCGCGGGTTTATAGATTCACACTGAAAGAGCGGATGCATTAGCGTAAGCTATCCATAATGCTGCGGAGACAAGTGCCGGTGGCCGATGATGGTACTTGTAAAGGGTAGCCCCGCTGTTCCGCTATTTATGTTACTTCACCCACACTAATTTTTCTCTGCGTCCTCTCAAACAGTTCCGCATCTACTGAAGAAATGCCGCTCGCGTCAGCGCGCCATTCGTGCCGATTCGTGTCGCGTAAGTTCGGAGCGACTGGTCGTCGTTATACTAAAACGTCCTGTCCTTCCGAACCCTTTTAGTCTTAATATTTATATATTATGCTTGCATTTCTTCCGTTTCGCATCTCTCCTTCTTTCTCAAATTTTTCACCTTTACATTGCGCGTATGTTTGCGCGACACAGAAATTTAATTAAAGAAATTTAAGCGGTAAGAAAAGTGACTGATCAGATAGATGATTATTCCTCGACTGTAAAAAGAATAAATGATAAGGTGGTTGATCAATTTTCTTTTTACTGCTTACGTTTTTATATGTGCTCTAGTCCTAAATCTCAGACATAATAAAGAGTAAAGAAATAAGAATAAGGAAATAAATATAAAAAATTAAGAATAGAAAATTATTTTTAGTCAATGCAAAAGTACCTTGATATTCCTTAATTATGTATTGAAGTACGTGAAAAGAATATTTTTGTTGAAGTATCTAAAAATTTTACCGAATCAAAATTATTATATAGAACATTTAAATATGTTGATAACACTATAGAAATTTTTGATATTCAGATCTGTATATATGTAATGCCAAATTTTGAGCTACTTCAACAAGTGTTCTTTCCGTGTAGTTTTCTATTTAACTTATTAACTTATTTGTCTAGTTCTAATTTTTTCTTTATTCCTTTTATTTTAGAAAGGATGAAGAAAATGTCATTGTATTATCATTATGTTATTTGAATTTTTATTATTATATTTATAATATATAGCTTGTTAGTCATATGATTGCTTTTGTTAATAATTAGTCATATGATTGCTTTTGTTAATAATTTCAAGTTTAATAATTTCTATAAGAATACGAACTCTTAGAAAAAAAATTGTCTACTTCTTGAGTTTTACTTTGAGATTTCGGTATTTACACAAACAATATCTAACTTATCATTGGATTTCAAAAATGTTTAACTTGAAAATAAAGTCAAATAAATTTAATCTTTGACATTAAATAACGGTCTTCGAGATGTGACACATCTGTGTTAAAATGTGTTAAAATGAAAAACGTCCTATTTTTTTATTCTAATAATGAAGTATATATTATTAATTTACAGATAAGAGAACAGATTCCAGCAACCGATGGTTCTTTCAGCGACAGCCATTGCCCGAAGTCAATATAGAATTAAAGCATCGGGATCTTTGGATGAAATTTTCTAAGGAAAACACAGAAATGATAATTACGAAGTCTGGTCGGTGAGTACATGTTCTATTTTTATTATTGCCATTGTTTCTTTATTTCTTCCAAATAAATATTAAAAGTCGCTTATATTATTTAAAAATAATATATAAGCGACTTTAATAATATATAAATAATAATATATAAATTATTTGTATATAATTTTGTTTATATATATAAAATTTTGCTCTCACGAATTGATAAAAAAAATAAATAAAACAATTTCTCGCAAAATAAGATAAGAACAGCCACGAACAAAAGCAAACCTAGTAAAATAACACAGTGACAGAATAAAATAACACAATAAGAAACATTATTTTGAAAATAATTTGTTAAATTTTTGTAATTAATTTTTCTTGAAAAGCAAAATCGGAATATCTCGAATTTTTCGATAATAAATCGCAAGTACAGAATCGTAATAGAGAACACGAAGTTCGAAGTTATAACTAATTATAACAACAATTATGCACGTTGCCGCGCTCATTCTGACGCGACTCAGTGGCGCCCGTTCCTTTAATTGAACAAGCGAGACAAGATAAAGTCCTTTTGAGTCCTTCCTACCTCTCCTCTTCTTGCTCGCCATCCATAAGAGATGTGTCGAGAAGACGTCGCATCATCCCTTCTCCCCTCACAATGTCATATTGTGCCCGCTGTTTGTGAAGGTCGCCGTCACGCTGACGCCCTAGAAACATCGCGTCACAACGCTATCTTCGAAATAATGGCTTTCCCTGTAGGGAGTCCACAAAAATTTATAATACATCCTTAGGTTTTTCTAACGCCTTTATCGTAACACAAGAAGCCAAAAAGTTAAGATTCATGGGGATGGAGGAGGCGCACGACAGAACACAATACTTTCCTATGATGAAACTCGAACTTCAAGAATTTTGTTTTACAATGTAATGTGTACATACACTGGAATGCGCATCTTCTATATTTTTGTCATTTTGGTTATGTATTAAAAAATTTCTAATACTGTGCTCCCGAACCACCTAAATTTTGCTCTAGCTAACATATAGTCGATATCGGTTTTTAATTATCTTATTGATGAATTGCTTTTCGTGTTGCAAAGAAAAATCACATTAGCAATGGAGTGCTTCGTTCCGATATTTTTTGCATGCTAATCCACATGATTACTTTAATCATTGGTGGTCACCAGAAGAAATGGAAAAACACTAAGTGCCTTTATAATAATAATAATAATAACAGTAGCAATAATGTCACTTTGTCCTCACAAATTTTCACAATTCCTGCTGTTCTAAATTTCTTTGACTACCAAAATGACCGACATGTGTCACACATTTTTTCGCAGCGTATTTTCTCTAATTATCTGCTGTGGAAAAAGCATTAGATCACATTAGTTTTATCTTTTGTATTTTTTCAAAAATTTCTATCAAGAAAATGAGATATGATTTGACGTATTGACGGATTTGAGTAATGATTTTACGATGTATCTTTTCAAATATTACAATATTTTGAAATCGCGTGATCGAATGCAGTTGCAATTTATGGGATTAATATCGCCATTCCCAAATTTCCTTGAAATTCAGTTGAAATTATAATTTGATACAATCGCTGTAATTTTCTTTCTTTTTAATGCGCGCGTTAAGATCGGTTTTTTTTTAATTAGGTAAACGAATTGATGTGCGTTTCAATGTGAATACAAAATGATTAGTCTCGCATAAGGTGATGTCACAAAAAAAGATGAAGTACCGACGTGCTTGTTTGTTTTTTTTTCCGACCGAAGCTCAATAAAAATGGATATATTTTTCGTTTCTTATAAAAAATAAAACTTTTAGCGATTACTTTGACCATCAGAAGAACGGCGGATTGCTTTTCTGACTCTTTCTCTTATCGTAAGTTATCGAAGGATTTCTTCTCAAATCTGACGTAGGGTGAATACTCGCGATAAACGTACATAGAATTTTGTCATCGTAAGTAGATAAAGTGAACATGTGATAAAACACCATGAGTTATGATTTCGTGTTATATCGCGTGACCGTGAAAACTGTAATGGAAGGAAGGAAGGAAGGGAGAGAGAGAGAGAGAGAGAGAGAGAGAGAGAAATGGAGAGAGGAAGAGATAAGACTGAGAAGGAAGGAAAAGGACTGTTTTCTTTCTCATGTATTATTTTATGATTCATTCGAACCTGTCTATGTTATTTGA